AACCTACACAGCATTTAGTGTTAACAACTTCATAAAGGTCTTATAGGTCATTAACTTGTTAAAGTTTAATCAGCCAAACATAAACAGCCATGTAATTGTGTGTTAGTGATTTATTTCTAACAAACCACAGCCATTGTCATACAGGGGCAAACCAGCTTAAACTGCATGAATAGTTACTAGGTTCTTTTTGCAGTTTGTTTGTTTGTCAACTCACTGTCATGTAAAGAAGAAGAAAAATAAATCACACCCAAAATGACTGATTATAAAAATATTTAAAATTGTATATACTTTCTGTTGGCCAATGTTTCAATATTCCAATTATCTTCACATTATTCACATTTTTAATAAAAGGTTCCCAAATATTTTCTCCTTTTACCCCCCCACCCTTTGGGTTAAGCCTATATCTAACTTTGTTATACACTGTAATTCCTACAACACTGAAATTTTCATTGAACAAAAACAAAAATATTTACAAATTTGTGCAGTTTTCTTACTGTTTGGCAAAAAAAGAAAATATTAAAATTAGATTTTTTTTTGACTCCACTGCAATAATGCCATGTTCTCTTAGAGGCCCCCCACCCCACTTCAGGAACCATGTGTGTGTAAAATTAACTTCTGTGGACACTTAGTCTTGTTGTCATTCCTCGTTCTTTGTTCAATGTGCCCCTCTTTGACCTCTGTATTGCCCCACTTGGACAGATAATGTTGACATTTTTATCCTGATTGTTTTAAGGGTTACATTACTGGTCTTTAGAACCTGCTCTTGCTTCTCATGTGATATATTTTTCTCTCAGAAAGCAGTGGAAGGTCTTCCTTCATTTATCAGACAAACCCCAGACTGGTGTCAATAAACAAATACCAGGTGCTATTTACACCATGTGAAGAAATGCCTGATACTGTTTTCCACGTCTGAGGACATTTGGTTTTTTTTCATTGACCTTCCAAATCCGATTATTAACAAGGACAGTTGATACACCACTGCGACACATTTCTGTATATCTCATGTGAAGACCTGGCAGATATCGTGTACCAAAACACCGTCTGGATGTCTGAAGGCTGTTCCTGTGAACCAGACACAGCCAACAGTGGCATCACCTCAGGTTCAGAGACCACTTATTTGTCAACACATATAGTATGCAGTCTACCTGCAGATTATAGGCCCAACCCTACAAGGACAGAGATATGTTATCGGTGAGCGGACAAACTGATAGCTGCTAATTTATAATCATGAGTGCAAAGTAACAGCCTATTGTGTTCGGTCGTACAACTTGTCATATCAGTTTGTCAATACACACACGACGGAGTTTAGGAATAAACCACTGGAAAAATCCACAGCCAATCCATCAGTGATGAGTCAATTTAGAAAAAAATGATCGTGTCCAGCCACCAAGTAAATGACATGAAATTACTTTGAAATGTTACTTGTTACTTGTTGCTTACTACATGTTTTCTCTTTAAGTATATATAGTTTATGTAAGATAAAAGGTAAAAATCCAGTTAATCTGTCCAACCGTTGTGTATGTAAGACAGGTTATACAATAATATTCCTTTATATTCCCATTCAAATATTCCTTGAATTATTTTTATTTTTTTACCAGTATTTTGTTTATTAAAACTATTATTCTTTGAGGTGTTTGCAAATTTTGCTTTGCTATTTTCTGCAGTGCAATTATTAATGTAAAAAAATACAGAATGGAATGGTTTAATTGTTTCTCTTTTTAAATTCACTATCATCAGACAACTATAAGACTATTACTGTTTTTGGTTTTTATTTAAGGTAAAATGATAACAAAAAGGAGTCAAAACATCAGACCAGACCGGTGTGGGCTGTCAGCTCAGTGGTGTTCAGCCTGTTATACCCCTGGTTGTTCTATAGGTGGCAATGAAGGAAGACAGAAGTCCAGTGTTGGTTGTGGGGTAGTCAGAAAACTACAGAGAGGCAGGAACTTCTCTTTAACAGAAACACTGTGTCAAGGTTTTACAGCAGCACAATAGTCTTTAACCTTTTATAGACCAAACTAATGCAGATATACTAAGGTATTATGTTGTATAAAATGTGTAAATGTGTTTTAAATCTAGTGCTATGAATAAATGTACCTCTTTATTTAGCATTCAGTACTAACAACACACATATTGGCATATTTAATATTCACCATACAATATTTAACATTCACAGTGAGTAGAGTGGCTGAAAACATATTAACAACAATTATTTTTTAATGTATGTGCAGTACCGTAACAGACCAGATGGGTATTGTGGACTCCTTGTTGATGACTTCTGGTGTAGCTTCTATCTGTAAAGAGGAGACGTGTATTATTTAATAGTGAATAACATGGCTATAACAGTTGGATTTTGTCATTGTGATTTAAATACCATACATGTTGAATTTTCTATTCTTTGGACCATTGAAATACAGACCACACAAGGAGATAACAGCGCTGCGCAGCGTTTCAGAGTGATAATCTTTGTGACCAGACTGGTTTTTAATAATCAGACATTTACTGAAAACCTCTTTGCCTCTGAATATTCCAGTCTCTTTAAAAGTGAACAGCACTTGTCCATAGTGTTTTTTTATGCTACTTGTGAAGCCGCTTGCTGTACACAACAAATGACCTGCCTTAGATTAATGTGACGTAAAAACAGGAGTAATATGTAATTAAATTATGTTATATATACATCTGAAACACACAACGCCCCCTGTGATCAGACTGACTCACCCTGTCACTCAACATTTACTGTGGTAATAAATATAACAGGAGGCAATTTTCTTTTACTATGATTCACAATTTCATAAAAACAATGATCATCACTGCTGGTATAGTTCATCTGCCTCTAGAGATATGCAGCAGGTGCCTCTTTGGTTGGGACTTGAACCAGTCATCAACTGGCAAGGGGAGTAAGAACATTTTGAGGGTAGCTGATATTGTCATCCCACCTGAAACATGTGCTGGGAAGAAACATCCCCCTGTGTTTGAGTGTGTGTGTGTGTCTGCGTTGTCACTCAGGTAAAGCTGGTGTAATCCTGTAAGTGCGGATGAGTAGACGGACATGTAATGTCCCACTTGTTTCTCCGGAGGAGGTTGGTGAAGGACTGGGGATGGGGGAAGGGGGTGACATTAACTGCCAGATGGTGAGGCTTTGTGGTGTGTGTGTGGGCGTGCGTGTTAACAAGATGGAACACCAACTTTAATTTGTTTTTTTAAAAAATGTAAACATTTAAGTTTTAATCAATGTATATATATATATTATATTTACAGTATATACTGTATTTGGTGCCTGACCAGCTCCAGCCACTCTGACAGCAGAGACTTCCTGTTCACCTTCTCAGCCTCCTCTAACTGATTAAATCCTCAACATCGTAGTCATTGGCCACACACTCTGCCCTCCTTAAGGTCGACACACATCCCCACACGTAGAGATTGGGCGTTTATTAGCTTCAGATGTTTGTATAGCATTGCAAGTTGTGTTTCAATGAATTGTATTGGAAGGAGATGAGTGGCAGCTCCAGTCAAAAGTTACTGCAGGTGAACGAACCAAAGCGGTATGGATCCACACTGTCTCTGGAGGAAAAATGTGAGCAGTCTTTTTTCCTCTTTTACTACTACAGGATGGAGGACGAGGCGGTGCTGGACCGCGGTGCATCCCTACTGATACACAAGTGTGACAAGGATGAAGTTGAGGGTAAGTTTTCATCTTCTTGACCTTAATCCAGCTTTAAAATGTAATAATATGGCAGTGACTTCTTCTTCTTCTTTATATACACTTCTATAAAAATACTTTCCTTGTATGGTACATAAATACATTCCTATTTAACGATCTTAAATGAGAGAGCTGTGGAACAGAGCATTTGTGATCCTGTGTTTACCTCATTAATCTCCACAAAGACCTGCAGACCAGACAGGAAAAATAATTATTTTTCTCTACCAGCTGCTGTTTTTCATATACAAAGTAAAGCTAATAAAGCAAGCAATCTTACATTATGCTGCTATCTAACACTAAGACCACTGGATCTCAAACTTCTCTTCAGCACCCCCTTTTTTGTAGAGAGGAATTTAGTCCAGCCCTGCCCTATATCGAACCTGCTCTGAAACTGATTTTAAACACTTTTAAACATTTTCTTTATCTGTCCCACAGAGAGTGTCCTTATTCTTCGGTATAATATATAATATACTTTTATAAAAGTATATCTTTTATACTTTTACTTTCATAAAAGTTAATCTGTATATACTTTTACTTTTATGAAAGTATATCTTTTATACTTTTACTTTTATAAATGTATATCTGTATATACTTTAATAAAAGTGAAAGTATAAAAGATATACTTTTATAAATGTAAAAGTATACTTTACTTTTATAAAAGTATATCTTTTATACTTTTACTTTTATAAAAGTTTATCTGTATATACTTTTATAAAAGTGAAAGTATAAATAGATATATTTTTATATTACACTAAAGAATAAAGAACTGGCCCTTTGTGGGACAGATAAAGAAAATAGAAATAATTAATAATAATAATTGAGTCCCTTATATGAACCAAAATGGGGAAATTGACAGTGTGAGTCTTTGCCACATGGGGGCGGGGGTACCATTAGGTATGTGGTTTCACTCAAACCACATACTGCCCCCTTCACAACCAATGTGAGTGCTACAATGATTTTGTAGCACTCAATATTGCAATTCGCTACAAGATTTGAGATTTTTTTTGTTTGATTATGAGTTATTATGAGTTTGGATTATGCAGCACGACCCTTTTAAGACTCAGAGTCGGCAGTCATTTTCTCTGCAGTGTCCTTCATGCTGACGGTCAACATTTTGTCAGGTGTCACCTCAGTTTGAACTCTGCCCTGTCAAACTCCCTCAGTTAAACGAACATGTCAACCGTCTCTGTATGTGTCCCAGTCTTCCAGATGTGTCTCCCCCTCTACTGCCCAGGTCTTTAAGAACAACTAACAACAAATACCCCTCCTAATTCACTTTCTTAATTGATCAATAAAACTTCAGCCTGTGTGGTATTAGCATGCTAATAGCGTAGCATGGTGTGTTGCCATTCTCCCCACTGGGCTTTCCCCAGTGCCGCGGTTACTGTGGTAACTGGCGGTGGCGATGCATCTCCTCAGAAATCCTGCGAGGGAAACAAACTTCCCAGCAAATACAAGCATCTGATTTTTAATTCAGAGTGTTCTAACGGGCAGCACCAAAAGAGAAGAGGAAGTCCTTTAACAAAGCTTTGGCAGCGTGCAAATCTTCCTTTGCCCAGGCGTGATTCGGCTGTTTTTTATTTCCTCTCCGTCAGCCTCCCCTCATTCTGTCAGTGTCTGTTGTTGCTGTTGGCCCGTGCAAACGCTCTGCTTTACTGCTCATTTGTCACCTGGGATGGCACAGTGATCTTAATCTCTTTCTGTCCATCTTAGTCTACAGACTTCTCTGTTGTTGCTCCAGTTATCTGTCTCCTTCATCTTATTTTTTAGCAGAGGTGCAGAGAGTTTAAAGTTTCATTGCCATAAAGTTGGTGCTGCTGCCTTTTTTTGTTGTTGTTGACATTCAGATAAATTTGCACCACAGATGCTGGAGTGTAATTTACTGTGATGTTTTAGTAAAGAAAAACCTGGAACTAACTAGCTACTGTTTAGCATTTTTTAAAAAAGTATTTAACTTTTTTTGTGTGTGTTTTCATGTTATTGCTTAAGCATGGCTTTTTGAACCAAAAGCTGAATGAGGAGTGCCCAGTGTGGGTGATGAGGGTGTGCATGTATTAATTAGTGATAATCCTACTATTTAACATTTCCATATTTTTCCATTGCGCTTTTCATCCCTCCCCACGTTTTAATATGTTTTTCCTGAAAGGGGGCACAGCTGACACTGAGAAAAACACCTGGTCAATTAATTAATTTGTAACTTTTTGTAACCATAATACAGGTGATACAGTTTCAAAATAAAATACATATGTCTTACTCTGGTAAATATCCATCAATGTATTATCTACATCAGTGGTTCTCAGATTGTGGAGTGCTCTCTAGTGGTACACGGGGAAAATTCATATTTTTACATTTCCATTTTCAATTGAATAAATATGAAACATACCATGCACAATTAATACAACATTTAAACATCTTTCCTGTGGTGGAAGGTCATCATGGTGGTACTCAGAGAGATCCATGTTTTTCAGGTGGTACAGAGTACAAAAAGTTTGAGAACCACTGGTCTACATAGTCCATATATGGAGTTTAAAACATAGGCATTACCTGAAACAAGCAATTTGAAGAAAAAAAACTGGTGATGTAATAATTGATTGGTTGAAATTTGAAATAAATAATCCACCAGCTAAAATCATAAACATTTGGATTCAGATGTCAGACAGCACACTGTTTGACTTTGACCGTAAATATATATATTACGCATTATTTCCTTTGAAAAGCAATTGTCTTTGAGATCTGTTTGGATCTCCCTGCTCTCCAATGCCACTCACACTGGACCTTCAGTGTCACTGAATTTAGATAAAACCCAAAAATACAAGCCATTGTGGTACAAGTGAATAATAACTGCTATTGTGCTGCAAGAGCGATCGGCCGCATCCTGGTTGTGCCGTGCCTGGCTCTGTGTTCACGGCCAGCTCTGATAAACCTTGGGCCACAAAAAAAAAATTAAGCTGAATAAATGAAGTGAACAGTGGATTGTATGATGTTTTAAATGCTATTGTCATAAAAATGTTGAATATAATATAATCCTGCTTTGGAGCTAAGGAAAAAAGGCTGAATAGTCACATGTAGTTCAGCAGTCACAGGTTGCAGACATCTGGTCATTTATTTTGTTAAACAGTTTTGAGTTTGCATGTTTTCTCTGTGTTGATCACCTTGGCTACTACTGTTTTCTCCCAAACACACACAGGTTGTTCACCATAGATGTAAATGGGACTGGTTTTGTTCCTCCATATGTGGCCCTCACTGATAAAGTCAGTCAGGTGGTGCTGTAGTTACCTCTGTGACCATTTTAGGATTCAGGGCCACTGGCCTTCATCCCAGCTGGCTCTTGGAAAAAGAAAGGCATATTGTGTACTGTTTTGGTCGCCTATCTTAATCATTGTGCTGAAACAACCTAAGCTCCAGACAAATCACCAGCATATTTTGGATGCTGGTGGGAAGACTGTGTTATTAGAGCAAAGTTTGGTCTTGTTGTCTACCCTTCAAACAAACAAAAACATGTAAAACCACACGTTACTTTGTTGGTATGGTTCCAGCTTGAGTGGGGATGCAGACACGCAGGTAGTCGTGGCGTCTTCACTGCTACATGCTACTCTATCTGTTCAAATATTTGTTTTGACAGTGTACAGAAACCTCTAGCCCTCCTCTGTTACACTGCCTTGGATCAGTTATGTGCCATGTGAGAAACTTAGATGATTGGATAAATGTTTAAACTGTTTTTGGTTTTCCGGGCATCTATTTGGTTTTCCGGGCATCTATAACATATAATTTTACTCATCTCTGTACATCATACTTTACAATTAAATTGTGACAATCTGTTTCTATGCACATTCATCAAGTTTTCAATGAATTAATTCATAGTGGTTGAAGGTATTGAGGTAAATCAAAGAGTTAAGGGATGTGACACTCATCTGCTGTTTTTTGTTATGCAGGTCACCACACCATTTACATTGGTGTGCGTGTTCCCAAAACCTCTCGACGTCGGAGGCGTCAACGTCGTAGATCAAGTCAAAAGGGCAAAAAGGAGAGGTTCATGGAGAGCGCCTCTGACAAGTGTGACACTGAAAATGCAGAGGAGGCCAGCACCAGCCTCATCAGACCTCTGAGTAAGTTCTTTTTTTGTCTGAATTTATGTCAACAACGATCATATCATCCAAAATTAGTGGGTCCCCCCAAAAAATGTTTAGGAAACGCTGGTGTAGAAGACCCCACAGTACTCGTGTCCTATGGATGTTGGAAAACATTGATGTTTGCTGATTCGGTTTTGACGCACCTAAGTAATTGTTGGTCGGCGTGAAACCATGTTCTTGGTGTGGCTGTGACGTGAGATGTGTCGTTCTAGAGTGAGTGAAGTTCAAGAAAGAAATAGAACATAATAACTGAGACCTGTGCTCCGAGTTAAAATGTAAACCAAGTAAAACTCCAAGCATGACGTCTGCCTTTCTTCTCTGTCTGTCATTAGGTCAATGTTTAAAACACTGTAAAACAATGATGGTCATTGTTGATGTGATGGGATTTGATACACTTCCTAGTTTAAGTTACAATGATGTAAATGTGACAAAAAATATAGCAATACTTGTAATAATTACATCCAGTTATTTGTAAAAAAAATTAAATACATTGGAAGAAAGATGATGACAAACTTTCTTTAAAAAACTTAAATTAGTCAAAAATCAAATGGGTTTGAAAGCATACACTCCTCCTGTTGTGTGTCACTCTAGTAATTATCCATTAATGGAAAATAGAACGTGTAGAGTGTGTGTTGTTAACAGTCAACAATGTGGTCTGGCTGGGTCGTACGTGCGAAACATTGTAAATCTTGTAGTTGTGACGTGAACCTTCTCTGAATACACAGACGACGCGTGCAGTGGCATAACAGTACAAACAGAGGCCAAATACACTTGGTGTTGTTGTACAGCCACTGGTTGCCATGTGGGCTGTAAACACGCATTGTATATTTCATAAACCTGAAGATATGCACTATTGTCACTTTTCCCTTTTTTTAAGTTGTTTACTGATTACAGAGCAATGTTCATGATCAGGTCTGGCTGAAGTACCAATATCTTTGCCATTCATAATTTGTCTTCCTTGTGAAATTGCAAGGAATTTATAAATATCTTAATTCTATATCCATCTATATCATCCATCTATATCTCCATGTATCAATATTCCATCACTTTAATGAATAACCTCTAGTGTGAATCTTAAACCTCGTACAACCAATGCTACGCCTTGAATGTAACTTTTACATTCTCGGCCTGTACATGTGTTTAGCCTGACAGTACAGTATGAAGCTAACAGCTGTAGCGAAGCGGACTGGCTTAGATATTAATGTAAACTATGGGATGTGGAAGTGACAGACATGCACTAGTCCTGAGTGGAAGTCCCAGTGTACCGTCCTAGTGTCTGTCCTCTCTCCTCACACACACAATCAGAGCTGACACCAGTGGAAGGTTCCCTGTCATATGTGATGAACTGCTCTTGTTTTGTCAGGTGGTCACTGCAGGAAGTGTGAATGAATGTGTGTCCAGACCTGAGATTTGAATCCAGCTCTTTCTGGAGAACATGTTTTTCTCCTTTTAACAAAGCATATCAACAAACTGCATGGGTTATTTGCTGTGAGACTACATTGTGTGTACAGTGACGTAATTTGTCTTTGGTAATTATGTTTTCACACTGGCAATGTTTTGATACAAAATGCATTGGTTTTTTCCACATATGCATAGATAAAAGTTTGTTTGTTTGTTTAAATTGACTGGGTCAGTTAATAGGAGGTTAAATTGAATCTTTACGGTTGTAATTAAAAAGAGGAAATTATTTTTTAAATCTGAAATCATAGAATATTATTATTGTTTAAATGCTCTGTTGAACCTCAGTGTCTCTTGGAGATAAAAAAAAACAGGAGGGTTAATTAGATATATTATGTTGTAGTTAATATTTCATTGCAGATAGTAACTAAACCACTAGAGCTCACTGGTCTGAGTATGAATATCATTCACCCTCAGTGTTGCTCTGCATTCAACTAAATGCTGACTGCTGCCTGTGTGCTGGCCGTGCGCTGAGTCACAAAAAAAAGAACAGTTCCTGAGTCCCAGTCTTGCCTGACTTTAAATGAGGTGACACTAGGTTACATTTACCCCACGTGTACATTCACAAACAATGAGAGTGCCACTCCATCCCATGTCAGTGTTTACTGTGCAGATTATATTCAGAAAGGTCAGAGGGGATGGGAGATATTTGTGTAGGATGGATATCTAGAGAGGGACTAAACAGGCCTTCAGTGGCAGTCACACCGAGGTTCTCTACTAGCGGGTATTCTTCCTCCGTCCCCTATCCCATGAGCCTCTGCTGCTGGGACAAAGTCTTCTTTGTGTGCCTGTAGCTCTTGGCCAGAGCACACACAGCTCTAAAATGGAGTTTGAATGATGGGATTTTCATTTCTAGACCCTCTTTTTGTGCCTGCTCTCACCCCTCTTTGCTTTCACTTGGTCCTGAGTCTCACCCCTCCAACCTCCCTTCCCACTCTCCCACCTTTTCTCTTAGCAACTTAGCAACTACCCCAGTGGGACAGTGTTGCATTGACACCAAACTGTGCTTGGTTTCATGATTTACAAAAGACCAAGGCTAAGAGATTTTTGTTTTGGAAGAATTTTGAGTAAACACAACTTTTATGATCCACAGTGTGGGGCAGTTTTCACCTGTGTTACAAAATTGATGTGAACAACTAAAAAAACCCAAATCTGTTTAAATCATAAACTAAATGTAAAATATTTTAAAATATGGTGTTTAAAACCAAATTAGGCAAAACGTGAGGGTTGTGGATCGTTTCGGCTCGTCCCACTCTGAGCTGCTGACAACATTCATTCATTCTCCCACTGCACAGCTGTGCTCAGCACACCCATAGGAATGTTCCCTCTGCTTCACTACAGTGTGCAGTCATAGCTGTCTGTTTGGTTATGGAATTTTAAATTAGTTGTTTGTGTTTCAATGATGTGTTTGTACCAAAATCAAACTTCAAAATCTACCTGTTAAAGCTTATGGCATTGATTATTAACTGGTGGCCCGCGGGCTTAATCTGTTCACATTTATTATTGGTTTATTATTTATTGTCACTCACTGTATCTTCTTTGAAGCTGGCAAACAAATTAACAGCTTCACCGTTAATGTTTTTATGACTGGTAACATTTCTTTAACTAATTACTAATCAATGCCCCCTCCTAATATGAATTGTATTCAAATATTCTATGGCTAGGTGATGTAGGAACACGTTTAAGGTAGGTTTTCTGTATGAAACGACCACTCTGACCCTGGTCTTACAATGCAGTGCTGCCTGTAATGTTAGTGCGCAATTTCAGTGGGTAGAACGTTGGTATTAAAAGCTTGTTTTATTGTTTATGGTAATCAAGGAAAATCACCGAGTATCAACTGAATATGTGGAACACACATGTTAATTACTTTACGTAAACTGTTATTAAACAGGTTTTGGAAAAAAAAGATGGTTGCTTGTGGAGGTGCACTTTTGTGCAAGTGTGTGTGTTTGTTTGTGTGAGGGGAGACAGTTTATTTTCCACCTAGTAATCTTACAGCCTCTCATCTGGCTTCTACCTGCTGCTCCTGTTGTTATTGTGCAGCACGACTAGGGGAAATCAGTCTTTGTTTTGTGGTTCTACTGGGGACCTACTGTGTGAATCACTCATTGTGACGGATGGTTATTTAAGAAGAAAATGTCAAAACTTTTTTCTTCTTCCCTTTACTTTCACTGCAGCTGCTATAAAAATAAGTGTGTTTGTCACAGTGGGTTGTCTCTGTGATGAACTTTTGACCTTTGCAGTCTGCACCCCGTGGCTCCTACTCCCTTATCTGGTTAAGTCAAGGAAGATGAATGGATCATAATGACTGTTCATACAGGAATTGTAGAATAGGAGAATTTAAATAGCGTAATTAAAGGATATGCTAGAAAATATTATACTTCATATTAATTATTAATATTAACTATTTATTATTAATATTAATCATTAATATTATAATTGGTTACGCTAGAATAAAACAACTTTATTTGCCATTTGTGAAAAAAATACACTGCTGCAGTCAGCCCCGAGTCATCTGTACTGTAGGACGGCAATACTTTAAAATTGAGTATAAAAAAGCATGTACAACAGCAGTACTTACTGCAGTACACAATAAATAGGGATATTGTGCTGCAAGCGTAATCGAAAGCTGTTATGTAATCACACAAGACAGTTTTGTTATTCTAACTCTCTCTCACTCTCATTCACACACACACACACAAACACACACACCATTATTTACATTTTTACATATTTACAGCAAAACCTCCACCAGAGTTTCTTTCAGAGTTATACTACTATAGATATTTACTCTCAGTTTTTTCTCCACCTTTCATGAGACTTTAAAATGCTGTATATATTTCAATCAATAAGAAAAGTAAGTCTTTCACTGTAGATATTGGTTGGTGAAACATGTGGTGACATGAGTAAAGACATCCCCTGACATTTGACAGGATTCAGGTTGACTTTGATTGTGTTTCAAAATAATCTATTTTTTCTATTAAATTATTATGTTGTATGTTGTTGGCTTTTATAAGAAAAATCTAAAAGGAGTTATTCGCCTCGGACTACTCACAGATGTTTTTGTAAGAGGATTTTTGTAAGAACGCTGCACTGGTATTTATTTGAACTGTTCATAATTCTCAGATTTTGTTTATTTTGTTTTTGTGGCTTACCAGTATCTGCCAACAATTCCTGTAGTTCCTTCGGTGCTGTTGTCCAGATACGGCGCCTCTCACCTGTTTTTGACATGCATATTGGATCAAGGACACCATCATATGTAACATCACATCATATAATTGTGTTGAATAATGTAAATGCCGAAAAGAGAACAAAATGATTAGATTTAGTTGGTAAAAGTCTGAACAGGCTGTTATCACATGCATGTGTCTCCACCACTGCAGCACGTGAACAAGTTGTCTCGACACAGTACAGTACCATTTGGGTTCCCACAGCTCTGATGCCATTGTTCCATTCATGTGAGTTTCACTGTGAACATGGGATGATGCACCATGTTTGCTAATGACATAATCTCTGAGTGTGTGCTGGCTGCCTTTCATTAACGGAGGAGTGATTGTGACTGTGCGTTCAAATTGTTTTTGTTTGCACGTAGCAACATGTTGATCACTCGCGGCAGGTTTTGAGCACAGGTGGATGACTTATCGTTTTTTTTTTGGGTTTTTTCTTTTTTTTTCACAATTCCATGTTACATCTCTGAACTGTTTGTGCTTGTCTCTCTAAATATTCCAAGCGGAAGTGAAGCTCTGCTAAAGAATAGGGAAGTTTGTGAACATTTCCTAATTGTTAATGAGGGGCTCCAGGGCTCTCTGCCAAGGATTCAGGGCCAATGGCGAAGGCCAGTTTGAACAGTAAAGGAGGGGAGGCACAGAGCAAAAAGGGGCTACATGCGGGGACAGTGTCATTGAGGGGACCCCCTAAACCTCCATCAGCCCCCTCCTACCTGTTTCACAGTGTTGGGGAAGGCATCTTAGGGTGGCTGTCACTTCCACCTAGCACTTTAATGAGGATTCAGCTGCTGGTTTGGACCCTGCTCCCTTTTTCTGGGTGATATCTGGAGCAGAAGCTGGGTTGTTTACCTGGGAGACTAAAGTGAGGTCTTTGTGTCTAACACCATGTCAAACAACAACAATAATCAAGGAGAGAAGGAGGAAAAGGAAGAGGACACTGAGGGGAAAGCAGAGACCCTGGTGACCATCCCACCACCTCCACTGACTGAGATAAACGGGAAGGGTCCGGCTGTAGGGGAGACGTCTGTGCCCAAACCCATGCCCAACGGGCACCACTACCAGCCTGTGACCCGCAGTATTTTCCCTCTCTCAACAGGTTTGACTGCAGCTGACAGGATCCGCTTCATCCTGGGCGAGGACGATGACGGCCCTACTCCGCCACAACTCTTCACTGAACTGGATGAGCTGCTGTCAGTGGATGGAAAGGAGATGGAGTGGAAGGAGACTGCCAGGTAAGGACCTTCCTGTCACACTCACGTCTCTGTACCCACCAGAGTAATGTCATAGATGTAGAAACTTCCCTGTATCTAACACACACACACATGCACACACACACACACACAGCGTAATGTTGCAGTTCAACTCCAGCTGACAGCTCTGAGCCTGGGAAAAGGACAAACAAACATCCAGACTTGAGCTGCGACACAGTCTGAAATCAGTTCATTCAGTTGAAGGTCATTTGGTGCAACATTAAAAAATATGTCTCACAGAGTTTCACGTATTTTTTACTATGTGACCCACAAGGACAAATATGGGCATAGGGTTTATACCAGGGGTGTCCACACTTTTTCTGTTTGGGAGCTACTTTTCCAACTATAAATATATATTTACTTCTTTGATTAAATGGCTATAGTTCTATGGCACAATACCGTCTGACTCAACACTTCTATTGTCCTTACTTTAGCCCTAGTGATTAGCATCTTAAAATAGAATTAAATCTATCAGTTTTAATGTTTCTTTAAATGTAACTGCTCAGGATCTACCAGCACTCCCTTTGAGATCTACTGGTAGATCCTGATCTACTTATTGGGCA